CATTGAATTACATTTGATTGCTTCCTTGCTTACATTGATGTGTTAATGTGTATGTGTGCAATGTGTGCCATGATGTGACTAAGCTTTATTGCAAATGTTGATTGCAATGTTTGAAGTATGTTGCCTTGGCATTGTGTCCATTGAATATGTGTATGATAGCTTACTTTCCATGGCATAAAAGCATGAACATATAAACATGATAAATGCACAAAAGCATTGCACGTAGTGTTTGCAGGAATGCATGATAATTGTGATTCTGTGCTACTGGGATTTCTTTGAAATCTCACTCTTATGTTTAACACCACCTAGGAGGGAGTTCAAGCAAGGGAAAAGGCAAGGAAATTGGCTCGGAGACCTAATGAACAATTAATGTACCCTAGTGTAAATTTTGAAACTTGTTATGTAATATTATGACTCTGGAAATGTTTGTTGGATAATAGCTCCTAAGGGGAGCCAAGCATGTATGTCTATGTTTAAATATATGAAAGCATAGTAGAATTTATGTTCAAGCTTGTATTAAGCCCCAAATGATTAAGGATGGGTAAAAGGTTATGAAAGAGCCAAAACAAAGGTAATTAGGGGATAACCTTTGACTAAAAAGGACCAAACTTGGTGCACACGAAATAAATAGCAAATGTTCGAATCTGAATTTGAAATTTGGCAGACTAATAGATCATATTTTTAGCTTTAAATCAAGTGGTAGATCATTAAATTTTGAATTTTGTAGAAAAATTTATGCCCTTTCGAAGTTGGATAAAAATACTGGAAATTTCAGAATTTACCAAATGAACAGAACATAATTGCGTGGAAACTAGCATTGATCTGTGAGAAATTTTTCCTATGTAGAACATTTCATAAGCTTTGTGTGAGACTTGGAACCACTTTGTTCCAATTTTGCTACATTTAGTTATGATTTTTCAAAGTTGACTTGATTTTTAAGGGTTACATGAATAGTAACTGAAATCAAAATTTTAAATCTTGGTTTTTACCTACTTTGAGCATCATGTAACGATTCCAAATGGTTCTAAAGGATGTATAATGGGGTTTAAAATGAAGGTGTGACAATTTTCAATTTGGTCCTAAATATAATACTTCAGTCAATTTTGTCTCACATATTTACCTAATTTTTTTTAAAAATAATTCTTGTAGTAGTTGTACATGTTAAAAGTTATATCAAATAGTAGTTTTAGCAAAGACACAATATTAAGAAGATTATTCTAGAGAAAAAAACACCCATTTATTACCCAAAAAAAACTAAGATAACACCTATTTATTACCAAAAAAAAAAGAATAACTTAGTAAACTTTTTTAATTTACCTAAATTAGTTAACTAGTTTTTGTATATTAAGGACTGGAGGCAGTATGTATGTGTATACACACATGTGTGTGTTTTTGAAAGGTAGAAAGGTTGAGCAAACATACGTCAATCAGGTCTAATGAATAGTCTCTAGTTCAATCATGTTGGCAATGCTTCTCATGGTTGGTCGAGATTGAGGGTTGATTTGTAAGCATGAAAGAGCTACATGCCAAATCAAAGCCAATTTCTTCAAACTGTGATGCCCTGTTGATGATAAGTGAGGGTCTAAAATATCTTCCAAGCTGATATGACCAATCCCATTTATTTGAATATGTGATATTAAATCTCCAGGATGCTCTCCCATAAGCACTTCCATAGCCAAACACCAAAGCTATATACATAAACTTTCTCACTAACTGCCATTGTATATGCAAGCTTTGCAAAAAGTACACCACATCATGGAGTAAATAATGATTTGCAAAATAAACTAAGAAGCATATATATTTATATTAATCATATTGACTCACCTGGAGCAGCATACCCATATGTGCTAGTAAATGTTGTCCAAATGGATGAATAAGTCTTTAAGAACCTTGCTGTGCCAAAATCTGAGACATTGGCTTTATGATTTGAAGACAACAAAATGTTGTTACTTGATATATCTCTGTGAACAATGGCCGGATCACAATTATGATGCATATATAATAACGCCTCTGCTACTCCCTTGATAATATGAACCCTATTTGACCAACCCAACTCTAATGCTTCTTTATCATTTCTAAGCATATCATATAAGCTCCCTCTTTCAATATACTCATAAATAAAAAAATGTGTGCAACCCTTGTGAGCAGAATCCATACAACTTCACAATGTTTTAGTGGCGAGTTTCCATCATGGATTTGATCTCATTATTAAAAGTTTTAATATTCTCAATGTCTAAGCTATTTTCTTCATATGCGAACTTTTTTATAGCAAATACTTTATCCTGCCCTGGTAATACCAACTTGTAGACTTTTCCAAATGCGCCTGAACCTATGCAGTATTTCTCATAAAAGTTCTCAGTTGCTTCAATTATGTCATTGTAATATCCTATTATTTTAAAAAAAAAAATTTAAAATATATATATATATATAGAGTCAACTTTCCACCAACTTTTGGTGGAAAGTTGAAATGTTACGGTGGAAATTTGGGAGAGACGTGTGGAAAAAATGGGAGGAATGAAGACTTTGGGGAGAAGGATTTAATGCTAGAAGAAAAAAATGAAAAAGGTAGTTGGGAAGATGGAGATAAAAGAGCGAGTAAGGGGCAGATGAGAATGCGTGAGAGAAAGAGGAGAAGAGAGAAAGAGAGTTGGAGTGTGCTTGAGAGAGAGGAGCATACCGGTGAAGGAGAGGGCAAGCTTTGCAGATATTTTAGGTACATAAAATTACTTCTTTTTATCAAACTTTCTTTATAAATATTTCCTGTATATTTTAAACTTCATATTTACATTATTACTGTAGTTATTAGAGAAAATTTTGAGACTTATATATGATCTAAGTACTGAGTTTTGACAAAAGATGATTATAGAAATTTGGAAGTTAATGAGTTGTTAATTTTAATCGGTTTAGATTTCTCTATTTGTTAGTTTTAGTATTTAAATAAATTTTTCTAGTTGAAAAACCTGTTATATATGATTTATATTATATTTTTACCGATTAAATTTAAGTTAAATAATTTATTTGGATTGTTTGATATATTATTGAGATTTTTAATCGGTTTGGATTGGTCCATTTGTTGGTTTTAGTGCTTAAATGGATTTTTCTAGTTGAAAAATATGTGATATATGATTTATATCATATTTTACCGATTAAAATTAAGTTGAATAATTTAATTGAGGTGTTTAACATATTATTAAGATTTTTATCGGTTTATTTTATTTATTGGGTGACTGGAGGTTTTAAAATAATTATTGTAGCTAAAAAGTTTATTATTTATGGAAATATATATATGGTAGTTATACCATTAAAGTTTTGATTAGATTATTTATTTATAAATATTGAAATATTATTGAATTTTTGATAGTTTGATTTTGAGGTTTAAACTTAAATGAGGATTTTTAGAGTTTATAACATAATAATTTTATATTTGGAGATTGTTGAAAATCCTTTTTATTAAAATAAATAATTTGGAGGTGGTAAATAAATAATTTGGGGTTGTTAGAAATTTTAAATTGTTGCTAAAATACTTAATAATTTTTGGGTTATGAGAGTTGCGGGAATTTAGAGTAAAAATTTAAATAATATAGAGAAGTTTAATTAATTAATTAATTAATTTATATTAATATGTGGTTATATTAATTGTGTAGATTAATTATTGGTTGAGCAAAGGATTGACCTTGTGGTAATCCTAAGTATTGCTTTGGCGAGAGGTAACCACTTTCCACTTGTTATATGTGCTAATATGTTGTTTGTGAGTATTTTGCTATTTTTAGAATAATGTTTGATATTTAAAACTTGAGTAGATATGTTATATCTTTTGAGTTATGAAAATTGTCTTGTGGGATTTTTGGAATGGTGATTGAGAAGTTTGGAAAAGATATATGATTTATATCTTATGGATTATACTGAGAAAAGATTGAGGCATTTTTATTATATTGTGAATGATTGGTTGTTATTTGGATTTTGGATTGAGTCTTGTCCTACCACGTGGTAAGGCCGCCATTGGTGCACATTGGTTGGCTTCTTCTTTCGTCCCCCATAGTGAGGGATAGGCCTTTGTGGCTTCTTATTCGTCCCCCAAAGTGAGGGATAGGCCCATATGGTTGATTGATCCCCCAGAGTGAGGGATAGACTTATGTGGCTTGTGTGTTGGCCCCCATAGTGAGGGTTTGGATGATTGAAATTATATTTCTATGGATATATCTATAGTTCTCGAGAATTTATAACTGTCCCACTTGACACCTCACGAGCACATGTTAGTATGTATGATGAGTTGGAAAGTTGGTTACTGAGGCATTTGTCTCACCCCGTGGTTTAACATTTTCAGGCGATAGTTCAGGTGGTGGCCCATCAGGGAAGGCTCCGGAGGCATAGTGTGCTGTTATAGCTTGTATAGCCTCCCTGCTTTTGTTCTATGTGTTGACTTGTTATATATTGCCACATAGGGCTCATCTACTATCATGATGTAAAATAATACTTTTAATTACTACTATCTGGTATGATAGGGCCGTGAGGAGGTCCGAGACATTTTAGACTTTGCGTATTACACTGATTTGATAGTGTTGATTTTTGACTAATGGGCTCTATGACTTATATTAAAATGTTTTATCAGTTCGTGTGTTTGAAAGTGTAAGTTTGGTTTGGGCTAACGGTTGAATGATATTTCTGGACTTTGAAAGTCCAAGGCCCAAGTGAACGATTGATGTGGCTCGTAATATAAGTTTATTTCTTTTAACCATGATAGCGATTTTAAAATTTTAAGGTTTCTTCTTTTCTATCATGGTTAATCATTCAAATAAATTGTTGGATTTAATCTAAAATGGTTTTGAAAGAGCAGTTGTCACAATTTGGTATCAGAGCCAAAGATTCTGTGAACTGAGTTGCATTACATTGCATTTAGTGGCAATATATAATAATCTCACATAACCTTTCCTGTTACTTTGTGTCTGTGTTTGTCCTTACTTTGTGTTTCTTTTGGTGGGTTCCATCCTTAGGTGGGGAGGATGGTACGGACACGATCCCGACAAACTGATCAGGGTGGGGATGAATCCACAAACCCACCTAATCAACCACCGAATCCTCTGCAGTTTAACCAGGAGACTTTACTGCAACAGTTAAAGGAAGTGGTAGTTACGGTGGTAGATGAGAGAGTAAGGAAGATGGAGGAAGATTTGAGAGTCAAGAAAGCTGTGGAAGAGTTTGAAGGGAGTGGGCTTCCTGGACCATCTGTGAGAAATTCTGTCACCCACAGGGGTTCTATTGAAGGAACCAGAGAAGAGAGTAGTTCACAAAGGCAACCAGGAAAAGAAGAAGCAGTGAACCTTAAAAGCGTATGGAAGGATATAGAGCGGCATCACCCAAAGACTTTTGATGGGGGTATGGATCCTGACAAAGCTGAGGCTTGGATCGATGATATGGAGACAATATTTAAAGCCTGTGGCTGTAATACCTACCAAAGGGTACAAGCAGCGGTAGTTTTACTGAGGGACCGAGCTAAGAGGTGGTGGAGGAGCGTAAGCGGCATAGATGACTCGGGGATTACTTGGAACGAATTCAAACAAATGTTCTTTGATCACTACTTTCCCCCAGCCATGAGACAAGAAAAAGAAACAGCTTTTTATGCTCTTCGACAAGAGAACATACATGAGGATGAGTTTATTGCCAAGTATATTGACCTCTCTAAGCATGTTACCTATCTGCAGCATAATGATAACCCAGAGTGGATGGCCCGACAATTGATAGAACGGGCGAGGCCAGAGTTGAAGCAGCAAATGGCCTTATATGAGTTTAAGAGTTTCGAGGATGCTTGCACGAAACTCAGGATGACAGCTCGCAGAACCCGAGAGGTAGAGGAGAGCCGACGTCGGGATAACCAGGGCAGATTCTCCAGTTTTATGAGGCCAATAGGAGGAATCAATAAAAAGAATAGCTATAGTTATGGGAGCTCGGGTAACTCAAGCAGAGGCAAGAGCCAGAATCAGAAGAATTCAGCCCGTGGAGGCTTTATGCAAAGGAGACAGCCTCAGGGGAGCCGTATAGCAGGAGATCGGAGTGTCCACCATGAGCTTGCCAAGTCTACACCAGGTGTTAGTGGTCCTTGCATGAGATGTGGGAGAAATCACCCAGGACAGTGTTGGGAATGCTACCGATGCCATAAGTTCGGACATATAGCTCGCAATTGTCCAGAGACACTGCAGCAGACTCCTAGTTTCAGATCCACGGTGCCCGGGAGAGTTTTTGCTTTGACTAGAGAGGAAGCTGGTATGTCTCCTAATCTGATTAGAGGTACTGTCTCTCTTCAAGGACATGATATACCTGTATTGTTTGATTCTGGTGCCACTCATTCTTTTATTGCTGCGGAATGTGCTCAAAAGTTTAAATTTCCAATGCATGATTTGTCTTACATGTTGAAAGTGTCAACTCCAGCGGGAGCCACTGTGTTAACCACACAGGCGTGTTTAAGTCTTGTGCTTAAATTTGAGAATCGTGAGTCTGTGATTGATTTGATTTGTCTACCCCTCAAGGGTATTGATGTGATTATTGGTATGGATTGGCTATCAGCAAATAATGCCATTCTGGATTGTAAAAGGAAGATAGTAACTCTTCCTTTGTGCACTACGATAGTTGAGGCTATTAATGGTCGTTTGTGGTTATCTGCTACTCAAGCGACTAAGTGTATTGAGAAGGGTTGTCAGGCGTATGCTGTTTTCTTTTCCGTTAGTACGGATAAAGAAGTTGGTATAGACAAATCGAGGGTAGTAAAGGAGTTTCCTGAGGGTGTTCACTGAGGAAGTGTCCGGTTTACCTCCTGAAAGGGAAGTTGAATTCTCCATTGAGCTAGTACCAAGGACAGCGCCAATTTCTAAAGCACGTACAGAATGTCACCTTCTGAATAGCAGAGCGAAAAAGCAAATCGAAGAGTTACTTGAAAAAGGATTTATTAGACCAAGTGTCTCACCGTGGGGATCACCAGTACTGTTTGTGAGGAAGAAGGATGGGAGCTTGAGATTGTGTATAGATTACCGGTAGTTGAACAAAGTGACTATCAAGAACAAATATCCTTTGCCTAGGATTGATGACTTGCTAGATCAATTAATGGGGTCAGCGGTGTTTTCTAAGATTGACTTAAGGTCGGGATATCATCAATTAAGAGTTAGAGCAGGAGGACATCCCGAAGACGGCCTTTCGTACGAGATACGGACATTACGAGTTCCTAGTAATGCCTTTGGTTTTGACGAATGCTCCAGCGGTGTTTATGGACTATGAACCGGATCTTTAGGCCGTACTTGGATAAGTTTATTGTGGTGTTATAGATGATATCCTAATATCCAAGAATGAGGAAGAACACCGGAGAGCATCTTTACATTGCATGGCGAATATTGAGGGATTCAGTTATATGCTAAGTTAAGCAAGTGCGAGTTCTGGCTTAGAGAAGTGAAGTTCTTAGGCCATGTAGTAT